ATCCCAGCACTGGGGAGATTGAGGCAAAAGGATATGAAATTCGAGGCCAGCCTGGTCTACACAGCAAGATGTCCAAAAAAAATTTTCCAGTCTTGTCAATAGTATTACAAAAACTCACCTCTGTAGATCAAATTAATTAGAGGGGGGAAAGTGTGTCTTCTTGTGGTTATGCTGAGTAGTTTTCTAGTTTGTCATTTTTTTTTTTTAATTTTCTTTATGCCTTTCTTGCCTCTCTGGGTCTGTGATCAGCATTGAAAAATATCACCTATCTTCTTCATTACCACGACCCTAAGCATTAAAGATCTTTATTTTTAACTCTCAAATCTTGTGAACTGTGAAGTTTGATAACTTTAGAGTCTTTGAGCTATTACTAGCTTATCTTATTACCCATGAAAACCTTACCAATGGCACGTGGGAATGGCATAATGTTAAAATGACAAACAGCTCAGGGATTTAGCTCAGCCACACAGTGCCTGCCTGGCAACCGTGAGGTCCAGAGTTTGATACTGGATACAAAAAAAAAAGTGACAACACATGCTACAGCCAGCAGTCACCAAGTAGAGGACACAGTCTGGAGGCTTCTGTCCATGATGACTGCTCCTCAGGAGAGCTCTCCTGCCTTTGGTGAGGTTCCCAGACCACCGTGTGATCCACATTTCAAAACAGCACTTTTTCTTTTTTTCTTCCGTGTGTGCAGGTGTGTGTGTGTGTGGTACTGGGAATTGAACCCAAATCCTTTCCATTGAGCTGCAACACAAGCCTTTGGTTTGGTTTGGTTTGGTTTGAGACAGGGTCTCACTATATAGTCAAGGCTGGCCTTGAATTTGAAATCCTGCCTCTGCCTCCTGAATACTTGAATTACATAGATGTGCCAATACCCATGGCTCCAGCCTCTTGTTTTTTGGTGTTTTGAGACAGGGTCTTGCTTTATAGTTCAGACTGTCCTTGAGCTCACTATGTAGCCCAGACTGGCTTTGAATTCATGGCGATCCTCCTGCCTCAGTTTTCCGAGGGCAGGGATTACACCTAGCTCCAGGCCTTTTTATTTTATTTATTATTTATTTATATATTTATAGCCAAGATCTTCCTAAATTGCCCACGCTGGGCTTGAATATGGGATCCACCTACCTCAGCCTCCCAGAGTGCTCAGGATTATCGACCTGTGCTACCACATTTGGTTTCTTTTTCTTTTTTTCTTTTTTTTTTTTTCAGTACAGGGGATCAAACTCAGGACCTTGCACTTGACAAGCAGGCGCAACACCACTGAGCTATATCCCAGCCCTTTTTTGTTTTTTGGGGTTTTTTTGAAACAGGGTCCCACCGTGTAGTGCAGGCTGGCCTTGAACTCATTATGTAGCCCAGGCTGGCCTCAAACTCATGGCGATCCTCCTGCCTCAGCCTCCCTAGTGCTGGGATCACAGGTGCCACAATGCCTGGCTATGCCTGGTTTCAAATGGAAACTTGTGTTTTGTTTTTGTTTTTATTTGTTTTTTGAGACAGGGTCTCCCTAGGTAACCCAGCCAGCCTTGAATTCAGTTATTTTCCTGCCTCAACCTCAGCGCAGGGATTACAGGCATGTGCTGCCACACTCAGCTCACCAATTTTTTTATATAACCACCACTGGGCTAAATTTTTTTTTCAGTGGAGAGGACTGCACAGAGGGCCTAGTACATGCTAGGGGGTGCTTTAACACTGAGCCACACCCTCAACCCTGTTTTATTCTTTTTTATATATGTTTTCTTTTTTAACATTTGTCAAATTATGAAGATAGTATAGACTTATGTCAAAAAATTGAAAATACCGCACTTTTTTTGTTGTTTTTTTAATTTTGGTGCTAGGGATCAAACTTGGAACCTTGTGCTTGAGAGGCAGGCAGCAGAACCACTGAGCTAAATCCCCAGCAACCAAAAAATTGAAAATAAACCAGATATGGTGGTGCATGCCTGTAATCCCAACACTCTAGGAGGCTAAGGCAGGAGGATCACAAATTGGAGACCAGCCTGGGCTATTTATCCATTTAGAAAGACTTTGTCTCAAAATAAAAAGTTTTTTTAAAGGAGAGGGTGGGTACTGGGGATGTATAGCTCACTGCAAGGGCACTGGGTTCAATCCCCAGTACCACAAAACAAAAACGACTGACCATGTAATGGGATATATACTAGTGGAGTCCACTCACTTGCTTCCTTCACAGTATCCATTGCACTAGTATTCTTTGTTAACTGATTCTAAATTTTATTCCAGTGGGCAATGTACCTGATTTAAAGACTACATTTCCCAGCTTCCCTTGCAGCTAAGGGAGGATGATGAAATAGTAAGAGGAAGTTGCTGGGTGGAGCTTCCAGAAAAAGTATTTAAAAGCAACTGACAGCTTGCCCTCTTGCTCTAGCTACTTCCTCCTTCCTGCTGCTAGAACACAAACAAGATATCTGGGGCTGCGGCAGCCATCTTTTTGTTGTTGTTTTATTTTGTTTTTTGAGATAGGGTCTCAAGTTCAGGCTGGCCTTGAACTCATGTTTAGACAAGGCTAGCCTGGAACTAGAAGTGATCCTCCTGCCTCAGCCTCCCAAGTGCTGGGATTACAGGCAAGTGCCACCACACCTGGCTGCAGCAGCCATCTTTGGTCATGAGGTCACATTAAAGAAGGACTTGTGTGCTAACAATGGTGCAGTAGAAAGGAGGAAGTCCCTGATGAACGAGTCTGTAGACATCCCGGGCCACCTACCTCTAGACTTATTTTCTTTTTTAAGTAGAGAACAATAAACCTTATACGTAGAAGCAACAGTGGTCAGGTATCTATAGTAACTAAATGTGGTTCATTATTTTTTATAGTGTGTAATTATTTTTTATAGCATGGTTATTTGCAGATTGGTAAAAAAAAAAAAATGTGATTTTTCGTAATTTGGAGAGGTTCGAGGCTGCAGCTTGTTTTTGTTTCTGCTCTGCCCATGGAGTCTATGTAGTTTTTCTCCATTATAGGTGTGTGTTCCTTCCATGCCAGGTCCTTGGGCCAGAACAGTAGCAGCTCGGGGTGTTGGCGAAGTGACAGTACATAGAACACCAGTGCCTGATGTATGGGGGCTGAGTCATGGGCAGTTAAGTGCATTTCTCTGAGCCTACCTGTGGCCTTCCCTACTTGGCCACTTGGAGGTGGCCTTGGAGCTGGAGGAAGCTCTGCTGCCACACACCTCATGATGGTTTTTCAGGCGTCCGCTTGTGACACCCAAATGATTTTCCTGAAGATAGTGTGTTCTCAAATAGGCACGGTTATGAAGACAGGCAAAAGCTCAGGTCCACCAGTCAGCCTGGGCATCCCGAGGTCAACTCGGCACTGAGAGCAGATCTACCTACCACCCACAGTGTGTCTGACCACCACCTACACCCTACACTAGCAGTGACGAAGCTGGGTGTGGTGGCACCTACTTGGAATCCTAAGCACTCAGAGGCTGAGGCAGGAGAATCACTTCGAGTTTGAGGCCAGCCTGAACTACATAGCAAGACCCAAAAATAGAAAAAGAGAAGAAAACAGACTCAGACAGAAACTCGCCCTCTCTTTTGGGAACT